GCCCGCCTCGGCCTCCCAGAGAGCTAGGATTACAGGCGTGAGCCACCGCGCCCGGCCTGCATGTAGGTTTCTTCAGTATTAAATAGGGTTAATGATAGCCACCGTGTGGGTTGTTTTGATACCAAAGTGAGCTAATATTCATAGAGTTGCAAGTTCAACTTGTGGCTCGTACTACCCTGGTCCTCAGTAAATGGCAGTTGATGTTACTAATACTCATGTTACAGAGTCTACCGTTTTCAGAAGGTGGCTTTCACATGTGTCACCTGCAGAGAGAAAGCTAATGTGTGATGTTCGATGATGGGTAAGTAATGCTTGTCGATTAACGATTGATGCAAACAGGACTCCGTTAACCCTGCGTGAAGAGAATGGGGGTTGCCTCTGTCCGTGTGGATTCGCGGCCTTCCTGAAGTAAACGTGGGAAGCAGGAAAGGAGCATTCACGCACATCTAGCCATCACCCTCACAGGATGGCAGCCATTGATTTGTCCCTTGGTAAGTCCTTGTTGCTGCTCTTTTTCAGAGACTCTGCTCTAAGTCCCCCTGCACAAGACAGAGTCCAGTGGCCTGGGCCCAAGCAGCCACGCTGCTGGTGCATTTCCATGGTGCCGATGTGGGCCAGGGAGTGCCGTGTTCTTACTGGCACGTGTGCTTCGGGAAGAGGCGCTGTGTAGTCCATTTCATAAATTGTATCACCGTGGGCAAATAGTGTGATTTCTCCAGGCTTGAGTTTCCTTACCTGTAAAATAAGACTTATTTCCTTTTTCCTGATGGGCGGCACGGCTGCCCATCCATTTTTCAGCTTTTAGGTGAGACGGGACTGCTGTGGCATTGTTTAGCAGGGGCGTGTGTGTGCGTGCGTGTGTTTTCTTGAATGTGCTGGATCATATGGGAATTTCAAACTAGGATGGAATGACTTCCAGGCACATGGTTGTGCGAATCATGGTCCACTCTGGGTTCTCACGCTGTCTTTCTTTTCCACAAGGCCTTTATAGGGACCCAGTCTGCCTTCCTGAAGGAACGACAGAGGCGGAAAGAGAGGGGGCTGACTGTCTGACAGATGGTTCCCAGGTATGCAAAAGTGCATCCTTTCCAAAATGTCACACTTGCATCCATCAGGCAGTCACGTTTCCTTCTACACAGAATCGCATACAGAGCTGCTTAAAGCAAATAAAACCTCCTTCCAGAACTGAGTCGCTAGTTGAATTTGCCCAGGGAGTGGAGCCTGTCACATGGGTGAGGGATTACCTTGAAAGTCATCCCGGTATTTCAGTGGTAGCTAATTAATCTACCTTAATGGTCCCAACTGCATGTTTTTTTGTTTTGCTGAGTGCTCTGCCACGTGATAAGGGAGATGAAAGTACCCTTTGGCCAGAGAATTTATCCAGTCGGTGTTTATCAAGCCTGTGCAATATTTGCTCCACAGTGTGCTGCAAGAGAGGGAAATAAGATGAGCTCCTGGTCTGGTTATGGTGAGATCAGAATATGTGTAAGAGGTGCCAGTAAAGCCATGTCACTCAAGGAGATGGACAGTGAGTGAGTGTGGAGAGAGTTGCTAGGACCATCGAACTCCGAGGTAGACAGTGGGAGCCCTCGGAACTCTCTGTAGGAATTGGGTCCCCCGTCCTCATTTTGTCGTGAACATGGTGTGCATATTACGTGGCTGAAGCCAGCACGTGTGTGATGGTTTAGGACTCAGTAACCTTCGATGATCTGGCTGTGGACTTCACCCCAGAGGAGTGGACTTTATTGGACCCGGTTCAGAGAAAGCTCTACAGAGATGTGATGCTGGAGAACTACAAGAATTTGGCCACAGTAGGTAAGATTAGCATCATTCCTCGTAGCCTGCGGTGGAACAGATTATGCCGTGTACTCACTGCTTTGCAGGACCTGTGATAATCAGCTCTGAATACAATGGCCAATAACAGACGTAGTCTCTGCCGCGATAAGCTTTTATCTGCTTGGTGGGTCTCAAAATCTGGTATCAGGTCAAGAGCATTACCATCACTGTGTTTGAAACGTACGTTCTCGGTCTTCACCTTTGACGTAGTTGGAAACTCTGCAGCTGGATCTGTTTTCACAGCTTTCCTGATGAATCTGATGGACTATAATGTTGAACAATGGCAGGTGTAGTTGTTTCCTCATGGGAATGAAAGTCTTTGTTTCACTTACTTTATTTCCTATTTGGAGAAAAGTCTTAGTGCTTTCTCAGTGTGTCCATAAGCCTGAATGTGGACGTCAGGGGTCAGAGATAACCAGTCTTTTGGGAGCACAGATAGAGGTGATATTTGTATTTTCAGCCCTTTTGAAACAATTTCACTACCTTTAATTAGAACTATAGTTCCTGAATTGTAGGGAGATTTATCATCTCTTACATTAATCTGTTCCATTAATGTGTCTTTCTCTGTGCACAGGATGTCAGCTCTTCAAACCCAGTCTGATCTCTTGGTTGGAACAAGCAGAGTCGAGGACAGGGCAGAGAGGAGTTCTTCATGGTGAGCATACGTGAAGAACATCCCTGGTTAATGAGGAGTTCAGTATGTTTGGAAGTGTAATGAGGAAACTTTAAAGATACGCACTTCATCTCAGAAGGTTGAAGCATTTTTTCTTAGAGGTTACAGAATCTTCAACTTCCCACACTATTATTCTCTGTCTACTCAGTCTTTCCTATGATCTAACAATGAAACATATAATATTAGGTTTCTTCTTTAAGTTTACTGATTCGATGTATGCTTCTTGTCCTATACTTCTGCTTTCCTTCTTGATAATAGTCTTTGTGTTCACCTTTAGTTTTTAATTTTCGTAGAATCAGTCGATAATACACTATCTAAAAATTTTGACACCATATCCTTATTATTGCCAAATTTTTGACATTCAGGATCATCAAATCTATCTTTGTTTTCTGTTTTTGTTACTCTGTTTAATTTGAAAACAAATATAAATGATCTATGTCATTTTCAATGCCTTCTGTCTACCATTTCTGTCTCCAAACCCTGACACTTCTTTTTCTCTTTAACTTCAGAATGGAAAGTGCAACTTAAAACCAAAGAGTCAGCACTTCAGCAGGATTTTTTATGGGAACCGACCTCCAGTGGGATACACATGGTAAGATAAACGGAGGGATATTTCTTAGTTTTCACATTCAGGGATGATTGGGAATTCTATTACAGAAAATCAGCAGAATGAGAGCTCTTTGAGAAAAGTAGAACTGACCCAAGAAGGAACAATGGCTCTGGAGAGATGGTTGGAATATGGTGATTTTGGGGTACTTGAAACCTAGCTTGATGCATGTTTCAGAGTTCCCACAGGTATACATGCCAATATTTGTAACCAAATAGTTTTTTAAACAATTCGATGAAAATCTACAGAAGTCTTTTGTAAGATTAGAGTAGTAAGATCAGTCTTTGTAAGATTCTGCGCAGCTTTCAGGCAGAAGCCTTTCATCATTCCACTAGAAAGAGATGATTCTATGCACATAATGAAAATGGTTAAAGTGAAAATAATCGTCGTAATGTTTCTGTCTTCAGATGAATAGAATCTGTTAATGAATCTGAATAACCTTTTAATCATTATGTATCCCTTTATCAATAGACAGGAAGCCACAATGGAGCAGAGCTCAATGAGTCCAAGCAGTGTGGAGACGTCTTCAGTGAACACTCATGCCTTAAGACACACGAGAGAACTCAAAACAGTGAGAACACGTCTGAATATAATCAGTGTGGCATGGACTTCCTTACTCTGCATAAGAAAACCTCTACTGGAGAAAAACTTTCTGTGTTGAATCAGAGTGGAAAAGCCTTCAGCCTTACTCCAAATGTTTACCAGAGAATGTGCACACAAGACAAATCCTTTGAATGCAGTGACTATGGGAAATCCTTTATTAATCAGTCACCCCTTCACGCACATAAGAGAACTAACAACGGAGAAAAACTTCATGAATGGAAGGAATGCGGAAGAGGTTTTATTCAGTCCACAAACTTTGCTGTGCATATGCAAAGTCACAGTTCAGAAAAACCCTACAAATGTAAGGAATGTGGAAAAGGCTTTAGATATTCTGCATACCTTAATATTCACATGGGAGCTCACACTGGAGACAGCCCCTATGAATGTAAGGAATGTGGGAAAGCCTTCACGAGGTCTTGTCAACTTACTCAGCATAGAAAAACTCACACTGGAGAGAAGCCTTACAAATGTAAGGAATGTGGGAAGGCCTTCACTGTTTCCTCTTGGTTAAGTCAACATATGAAAGTTCACACCGGGGAGAATCCCCATGAATGTAAGGAATGTGGGACAGTCTTCACTAGGTCTTCTCAGCTTACAGAACATATAAAAACTCATGCTGCAGAGAATCCCTTTGAATGTAAAGTATGTGGAAAATCCTTCAGAAACTCCTCATGCCTTAATGATCACTATCGAATTCACACTGGAATCAAACCCTACAAGTGTAAGGACTGTGGGAAAGCCTTTGCTCAGAACTCAGACCTTACTAAGCACGTACGAACTCACAGTGGAGAGAAGCCCTATGAATGTAAGCAATGTGGGAAAGCCTTTGCTAGATCCTCTCGCCTTAGCGAACATATAAGAACTCACACTGGAGAGAAGCCTTTTGAATGTGTCAAATGTGGGAAAGCCTTTGCTATCTCCTCGAATCTTAGTGGACACTTGAGAATTCACACTGGGGAGAAGCCCTTTGAGTGCCCGGAATGTGGGAAAGCGTTTACACATTCCTCCAGTCTTAACAATCACATGCGGACTCACAGTGCCAAAAAACCATACACGTGTATGGAATGTGGCAAAGCCTTTAAGTTCCCCACGTGTGTTAACCTTCACATGCGAATCCACACTGGAGAAAAACCCTACGAATGTAAGCGGTGTGGGAAATCCTTCAGTTATTCCAATTCATTTCAGTTGCATGAAAGGACTCACACTGGGGAGAAACCTTACGAATGTAAGGAGTGTGGTAAAGCCTTCAGTTCTTCCAGTTCCTTTCGAAATCACAGAAGAAGGCACGCAGATGGGAAACTGTCAGTGTAAGGAATGTGGGAAGGCCTAAAGTTGTCCCCGTTCTCTTCAAAGACAAACTTAACTCACAGAGGAGAAAACATACGAATGTAAGGAATGTGGAAAGATCTTTACTTATATCTCAGGGCTTCATGAACATGTATGAATTCACAGCAGAAAAGACTCTATGTCAGGGAATGTGGAAGAGACTTCATTAAATCCTCAAGCCTTACCTTACACATCAGAAATCTCACCGAAGAGAAACCCTATGAATGTAGAGAATCCGAGAAAACTTTTCCTAATTCCACAAATCTTAATATGCATATGTGAACTCACACTGGAGAGAAACCCTATGATTTTAATGGTATGGCCTGGATGATCCTCTCCCCCACCCAAATTCACATTCTGAAACTGACCCCCGTTTCCTTCAGTGTCACTCTATTTGGACATAAGATTTTAAAGCAGGTGAGTAACTTCAGATGAGGCTGTTAGGGTTGGTCCCTGATTCAGCATCGCTGGTGTCCCTTAAGAAGAGAACATGAAGGAAGGACGCACACACACAGAAGCCCTTGTGACCCCACCAGAAGATGGCCCTTTGCAAGCCAGGAACAGAGGCCTGGAACAGATCTTTCTCTTCTGGCTTCCAGAGGAAATCAACCCTGTCCTCACCTTGATATTGGACTTCCAGTCTCCAGAATTTAAGCCAATAAATTTTTCTTGGTTATGTCATTCAGTCTGTGTTATTTTGTTATGGCAACCCTAGGAAACATACTGTAAGGAACATGAGAAAGGCTTTAGGTATTCTAGAAATTGTAATATTTATATACGAACCTGCTGTGCAAAGAAACCCTGTAAATATAGAGTGTTGGAAAGCTTTCGTTCAGTTTTTAGCACTTTTTAAAAATGTATGAAATCACACAGGAGAGAAGTTCTGTGAGTGTAGTGCATGTGAAAAAGCCTTTACGTGTTTGTCAGATCTTAATATTCACTTCCAACTCCTGGGAATCAAAGAAGAATGTAAAGAAAATAAAGTTTCTTTTACTATGAAAGTAAGGCATGTGATCTTACACAACACTTAGTAACTTCAGGTAGACTGAAGCCCCAATATCAGGAATGTGAAAGAGATTTCATTTACTTTGCGTACCTTACGTAAGGTGTAAGAACTCACAGTGTAGTGAGGACAGGAGAGAAGCCTGCTTGTAAGGCACGTGGGAAAGCTTTCACTAATTATGCAAGGCTTATTTTACATGTCTAAAATCAGTGCAAACGCCCTAGGAATGCAGTGAATGTATCACCACCTTTAAATATTTCACAATCCGTGATAACATGAAGTCTCACTGAAGTCTCACTCCAACCTGAAGTTGGAGTAATATCCTACATATGTCAGGAATATGGAGAGACCTTATTTGGCTCAAGCCTTAATATCTACATGAGCAGCCACACTAGAGTAAAACCCTGTGAGTAGAAAGAATGCTGGCAGGCCCTTCCCTTGTTCCTCGTGTATTATGATGTCACAGTTCAGAGCTATGCGAATATAAAGAATGTGTGGAAGCTTCAGAATCTCCTCACAGCCCAGCGTGTGAGAACTCACTGTGACACCACGCAGTCTGTGACACATGGAAAGCCTTTTGCTGTTATCTCAGGGGCTACTTAAGAAAGATTCTGCAGTGGAGAGAAATCCGGTTAATGTTAAGATGTTTTGGAAAGTGGTAGTTTTGCAAAATAATGTTCACTTCTCAGAGTGGCAAAAAACTTATTTACTAATTGAAAATATATTCAAGTGTTTTAATAACTCTTAAAGAAATAACTGCTCTATGTTTTAGAGCAGTTTTAGGTTCACAGCAAAATTCTGTGGAAGGTGCCAAGGCTTCCTATATTGTCACTCCTGCTATCCACGTGTAGCTTCTGCCACCACCGACAGCCCACCAGAGTGGTATATTTGTTAGAATTTATGAACCTACGTAGATACTTCATTATCACCCAAAGTCCACAGATCGTCTACACTCTATTCACCCCTCTTCCCCCTCTAACCCTTGGCATCCACTGATCTTTTTACTGTCTCCATAGTTTCACGTTTTTCAGAACATCATATAGTTGGAGGCATACAGTACGTAGCCTTTTCAGATTGGCTTCTTTCACTTCGCAATATGTATTCAAGCTTCCTCCATGTCTGTCCATGGCTTGAGAGCTCATTTCTTTTTAACACTGGATAATATTCCATTATCTGGATGTACCACAGTCTATTCATCTACTGAAGGAGATCTCACTTCTTTCTATGTTTTGGCAATTGTGAATAAAACTGCTACAAACACCCACGTAGAGATTTTTGTGTGGACATAAGTTTTCACCTATGGGTAAATACCAAGGAGAGCAACTGTTGGCCTGTATGGTAAGAATATATTTAGTTTTGTAAGAAATGGCCACAGTGATGGGGACGTGTCTATTCCACAAATTGTCCTGGGGTATATCCAGCACTGACATTGACCATGACATCCTTGGTCCTGGCTTTCTCCCTTAGCCTCCAACGATGGGTTTCCCATTCATTGGCTACTGGTTGGGTTGGGACCACCTCAGCCTCTGCCACCCTGTCCACTTCTTCACTCGTAGCCAGCAGCCTTGCACCCCACTTCTCTCACTGTCCCCTCTGGCATTTTTCTCACAAAGTGGATGTTGGGTTCCTCAGGGGGCTGTGGCCATTAGAAAGGACATTGTTGCCCCTGAGAAGTGTGCCCTCTTACAGGGTGTCACAGCTGAAAGGCAGCTGATGAGTAGAAGAGTCTTGAGGTGAGGTCAAATGTCATTCAGGGGTGAAGAGTAGAGATGGATCTGCTTGCATTGTGTGCAAAAAGAGGAGACGTTTCACTCTTAAAAGCTTCTGAACTATTTCTGACCCAGTGAAATGCACGGCCGTTTCCCACTCCTCACTGTTAACAGTGGAATCAGTTTCATCATTCTTTACGTTGTATTTCAGTGAAAGTGCCTGCCCTCCACATCTCTGTGTCACCAGGGCATTTCCTCTGGACACCAGGAGCTTTAAGGGCTATAATGAATCCACAGTGCCCGGTGCAGAGGTCATGGCAAAGCGAAGGGTACTGGTGGGGATTTTAGCTCTGTCTCAACATGTCCCACCTGGATATCTAGAGTGAAACCCACAGTTGTTGGTCAATAAACGTACTGAGACACCCACTCCTTTCATCAGTGTTAAGCTGTGTTCACCTGATGTGACTCTTTGGGCATCAGGGTGCAGGGTGGGTCTGGAGACTACTTTGCAGGTCATGCAGACCCGAGGTGAGTGGCTTATTTCATTTAGCGTGTCTTCAGGGTTCATTCATGTTGCAGCACGTATCAGAATTTCTTTTTAAGGCTGAACAATATTCCACTGTATGGGTATACCACATTTTGGGTTGCTTCCACCTTTTGGATATTGTGAATAAGGCGGCTATGAATATCTCTTCCAATCCCTGCTTTGAATTCTTTTGCATATATACCCAGAAATGGAATTGCTGGATCTTACAGTGGTGGTGGTGGTGGTGGTAGGAGCATTCCTAATCATGACTCCGGTGTTGGCTATTAGGTCTTATAGTGGTCAGCAGCTGTGAGATGTGTTGGGTTTTGTGTCAGTGAAATGAGGAACAAGTGGGTTATATCACAACTAGAAGGGAAGTTTGTCAGACCTAAAAATGGATACCTAAACAGCAGCTATATTAAACAAATCTATGCCATAGGGCATTTCTGTCTTTATCCTCAGTCCCTCTTTTTCAAATTAAAAGAAACATTTCTTTTCGGAGATGAAGGTCTTGCGGTGTTGCCCAGGCTGGACTCAAACTCCTGGGCTCAAACCATCATCCCGCCTCAGCCTTTTGGCACTGCAGGCGTGCATGACTGCGCCCCTATCACTTTCAAATCCTGCCATATCTTGGCAGATGTTTTACTCATAAGGATACTTAGAAAATGCCAAAAGAAGGCATTTTTGAGATGCAAAAAAATCCTGGTTTTGTCAAAATATAGCAATAGCAACTGTAGCACCAAAGGACTTTAAATTCCGATTCTGTTCTTTGCTTGTAGCTTGATATTTATCACATTCCCTGGGGAATAGTGCAAGCCGTCAAGCGACCTGGGATGCAGTTTCAGACTCCTTTGGCCAAGTTATATGGCCTGTCTGTGCCTCTGTTTCCCATCCGTAAAACGGGCAAAATAAAGACCCCTTTTTGAGGACGCAGAAGATGGGAAGCCCTTCGCAGCGCTCTCCCTCTGGCGGCCGCCTGGTCCTGCTCCGTGGACGCTGGAACCTCCCTGTTTGCTTTGCAGGGTCGCGGTTCTGGCAGCTTCTCCCCACGCCCCCTATGCCCTCAAACCCCGGGGTCCCGCCCCTGGTCCCGTGACCGGAAGCGGAAGTGCACTCCCGCTCCGCGCGTGCATCTGCGTGCTGCCTCGTCTCCTTCCGGGGAGGCCTGGCTGGTCTCAGGTGCCGCCTGGGCTGGGAGAGGCGGCGTCCTCGGGATGCAGCGGCGCTTCCTCCCCGAGCCCCGTGGGGCCGTTCGGGCGTCAGCCCGGGGAGTGCGGGCAGGGCCTTCTCGTCCGCTCCGCTCTGCTTTTCCAAAGCCTCTTTGTCCTCGCGTTCTTGCTCCAGACTGAAGAGCATCTCGGCCGCTCGGGTCACGGTTGCTTCGTCCCCCAGCGGCGTCACCGACCTGGGAATTCCGGCCATTTCGGGTGAGCGCTGACTGGGTGAATTTGCTCCTTTTGGGGGTGTCGGTTATTTATGCTTGGTAAATTAGGTGCAGCTGGAAAGATTAGAAACATTCTCAGATGATTACAGAGCACATGTGTTTGGTATAATTAAAGGCATGAGTGAATGGATGCCTATAAATACAAAATTTACAATCATGTAAAAGCAGGACTCCTCAGCTCTGTACTCAAGTTCAGTTACACCACCAAAGGGGCTGTACATTTCGCACTCTGACCAGCAGTGAATGGAAGTTCCTGTTGCGCCACATCCTTGTCAATATTTGGTGTTGTCAGTGTTTTGGATTTTGGTCGTTTTAATAGGTGTGTTAGTAATATCTCATTGTTTTGCTTTGCAATCCCCTAGTGACATGTGATGTTGAATACTTAGGCTTGTCATCTGTATCTCTTTTTTGGCAAAGTGTCTGTTGTCTTTTGCCTTTTTTTTTTTAATTGGGTCGTTTTCTTATAGTTGAGTTTTAAGAGTCCTTTGTATATTTTGGATAACAGTCCTTTATGAGATGTGTCTTTTACAAACATTTTCTACTATCCTGTGGCTAGTCTTCTCATTACCTTGATGTAACCTTTCCCAGAGCAGAAGTTTCTAATCTTACGGAAGTCTAACTTACCAATTCTTTCGTGAATCATGCCTTTGGTGTTGTATCTATTATAAAAAGTCATGGCCATACCCAGGGTCACCTAGATTTTCTCCTGGGTTATCTTCAAGGAGTTTTCTAGTTTTGTGTTTTATATTTAGTTCTGTGATGCATTCTGATTTAATTTTTATGAGGCATGTAAGGTTTGCACCTAGATTAATTTATTTTGCATGTTGATGTCCAGTTCTAGTAGTGTTTGTTACAGAGACTATTTTTGCTCCACTGTGTTTGTTGCCTTTGCTCCTTCATCAAAGATCAGTTACTACAGGGTGTCCCAAAAGCCACCATACATAGGGAAAATGGGAAATTGTAGCTAAATGTACCTTTATTTACAAAATATTCA